ACCAGCCTGACCAACATGGTGAAACCTCATCTAAAAAAAAAAACAAAAAACAGAAAAAAAGGAAAAACCACGAATTTGTTCCGTTTTCTTCTCCCTACTGCCTCTTTTTGTGAGAAGTTGTCTTAAAACTTACTGAAATTACAAGGCTCCTTAAGAGCTGCCTGAAAAAAAATAATTTTGGCCAGGCGTGGTGACTTACACATGTAATCCCACCACTTTGGGAGGCCTAGACAGGATGATTGCTTTAGCCCAAGAGTTCGAGACTAGCCTGAGCCACATAGTGAGACTCCATCTCTGCTAAAAATCAAAAAAAAATAGCAGGGTGTTGTGCACGCCTGCAATCTCAGATACTCAGAAGATGGAAGGAGGAGGATGGCTTGAGCTCAGGAATTGGAGGCTGCAGTGAGCCGTGATCATGCCACTATCCTCCAGCCCGGGCAACATAGCAAAAGTCTATCTCAAAAAAAAAAAAAGAAAAGAAAAAGTAATAATAATTACAAAAGTTAAAAACCAAAGCCAGGCATAGTGGCACACACCTGTGGTCCCGGCTACTTGGGAGGATGAAGCAAGAGGATGGCTTGAGCCTAGGAGTTGGAGGCTACAGTGAGCCATGATGGTGCCACTGCACTCTAGCCTGGGCAACATAGTGAGGCCCTGTCTCTAAAAAAGCAATTTTTTTAAGTTAAACCGTGTGAGCTCCCACTCCCTGCTGGCTCCCTCTGAAGTGGTTTAAAACATGTAGGAGGCAGATGATCTGCAAATCCTGCACCAGAGATGGGTGTGGTGGTGCACTCCTGTAGTACCAGCTACTTGGGAGACTGAGGCAGGAGGACTGCTTGAGCCCAGGAACTCCAGATCAGCCTGGGCAACATAGCAAGACTCTGTCTCAACAAACAAACAAAATCCCACTCCACTACTGAGTTCTCCAGGGTGGAGGTGGGGGTATAATTAGACTGGCCTCACCGGGTTGTGAGAATTCAGTGAGTTTGCTGAGAAGGGGCCTAGGATGGGCATCCTTGACTGGTGCTATTGTTGGCATCATTGTGCTTCACCCCATGCCTTCTGGGACCCCCATGCCTGAGCCTCGCCTACAACATCCTGGGAGAGGCCTGGAGGGCCTGCCTTGATGCTGAATTTTGAGAAGGTCCCTGAGGGGCAAGAGGGATCTGGAGGCCTTGGAGGGGGATCACAGGCGACTAATTATTAAAGCAGATAAAGATGTTTTAAACAGATAATGAAGTCTTAATATTTTAATCTGTAAAGTCTTTAATCTATGCAGGCTAATGGAAAGCCTGTTGACGCCTAATCATGTCTTAAAATAACCCCACTGGGCATTGCCTTGTGGGGTTGGACAGCTGGTTGGTCCAGCCCCTCAGAAGCTCTCCCCTCCCCTCCCCTCCCCACAGGGTGAAGAGGTCCTCCAGCAGCTGCAGACCCTGGCACCAAAGGGCGTGAATGTCCGCATCGCTGTGAGCAAGCCCAACGGGCCCCAGCCTCAGGCGGACCTGCAGGCCCTTCTGCAGAGCGGTGAGCTGGGGCCCAACTGGGGTTGGGGTGGGCCTGAGGTTACCCAGCCTGGCCCCTGATCACTGCCCCTGCTGGTCACAGGTGCGCAGGTCCGCATGGTAGACATGCAGAAGCTGACCCATGGCGTCCTGCATACCAAGTTCTGGGTGGTGGACCAGACGCACTTCTACCTGGGCAGTGCCAACATGGACTGGCGCTCACTGACCCAGGTCTGCCTGCACCCTGTCTACCTTCCTTCCAGGTCACTCACTGCCCCACAGGACACCCAGCCTCCGACTGCACCCCTTACTCAATCCAGAGTCCTCTCCACCCATTCTCTGCAATGACTTCCTCTCTGCCTCCTTCCAGGCCTCCCTAATCCAAGCTGGGCATGGTGGCTCACACCTGTAGTCCCAACACTTTGGGAGCCCATGGTGGGAGGATCACTTGAGCCCAGGAGTTGGAGACCAGTCTGGGCAACATCTCTTCCAAAAAAAAAAAAAATTGCCAGGTGTGCTCCCTGTGGTCCCAGCTACTTGGGAGGTTGAAGCGGGAGGATCACTTAAGCCCAGGAGTTCGAGGCTACAGTGGGTTGTATTTGTGCCACTGCACTCCAGCCTGAGCAACAGAGTGAGACCCTGTTAAAATGAAAAAGAATAGGCCAGGCTTGGTGGCTCATGCCTGTAATCCCAGCACTTTGGGAGGCCAAGGTGAGTAGACCACCTGAGGTCGGGAGTTTGAGACCAGCCTGACAAACATGGTGAAACCCCATCTCTACTAAAAATTAAAAAAATTAGCCAGACATAGTGGCAGGCGCCACTAATCCCAGCTACTGGGGAGGCTGAGGCAAGAGAATCACTTGAACCCAGAAGGCAGAGGTTGCAGTGAGCCGAGATTGTGCCATTGCACTCCAGCCTGGGTGACAGAGTGAAACACCATCTCAAAAGAAAAGAATAATCCCCAGATGGAGCCCTCTGCTGCCCTCCCCCTACTCCTGGAAGCCTGGAGCTCCCTCTGATTCACGATTGCAGCTACCAGCCCCTCTACGGGGCATTAAGGACCTGCATACCCATTTGACCTTCATTGTACATCTCTGTGTGCCTGCTCAAAGTCCAGCCCCATCCCAGGTAATGTTGGCAACATGGTAGTAGCAGATGGACCTCATGGAACTCCCAGTCCAGTGCAGACTGGCCGGTCACCTGACAGTGACAGCCCAGAGGGGTAAGGGCTGGGGTTGGGGAGACACAGACAGAGGGTCAGGGCCAGGATGGAGGGAACTGAGGGCCGTGGAAGCTCAGAGACCCCAGCCTGGGGTATGGGAGGGTTTCCCAAAGGAGGACTAACTAATCTGATCCCTGAAGGATAGGGAGGAATTAGCCCAAAATAGGCAAGAGAAAACAGCTCGGGCAATCAGGTGAAGATAAGACAGGACATTAACTCACAAATTCATTTCCTCAACAAGTATTTCCCCTAACCCTTAATCTCAGCAATTACGTAGGGAGATGCTACAGATACAGCTGTGACTGAGACATCCCTGGTGCCTGTCCTCCCAACCCAATGGGAAGACCAGTTTGTCACCAGAGAGAATGAGAAGGGAATCCCAAGGGACTATTGAGAGCCCAGAGGAATGCCTGGCACAGGCTGTGTAGTCATGGGAGGCTTCCTGAAGGAGGAAGCATGTCAGCCTAGACCTAAGAACAAGTAGGAGCTAGCTCCATGGAGGGTAGAAGCAGATTGCAGAGGTTCAGGAAACTCTGAACTGATTCGATAACTGATTTTCATCAAAACTTAAGTTGATAATCATTCTAGGGTTTTAGCTATTGGAGCTGGGGTGGAGGGGGCACTGAGGGACAGAGGGATAGACAGAGACAAGGCTGGGGAGTGTCCCTATCCTCTGTGAGCACCAGGCCGCTATCCCTGAGCTCAGCACTGCCTCCCACAGGTCAAGGAGCTGGGCGTGGTCATGTACAACTGCAGCTGCCTGGCTCGTGACCTGACCAAGATCTTTGAGGCCTACTGGTTCCTGGGCCAGGCAGGCAGCTCCATCCCATCAACTTGGCCCCGGCCCTATGACACCCGCTACAACCAAGAGACACCAATGGAGATCTGCCTCAATGGAACCCCTGCTCTGGCCTACCTGGCGGTGAGTCTGGGGCAAGTGGGGCCTGCAGTGTCCCAGCCCCATGCCATCACTCACAGCCTCCACCTGTCACTGTCTGCTGGTGATAGGGAGGGCATATCCTGACCACTAGTCCTCACCCCAGCTCATTCTGCTTGGTCAGGGGTCTGGACTAGTTCCCAACATCCTTAGGCCTCTATTTCAGTTAGAAAATGGGCCAGGCACGGTGGCTCACGCCTGTAATCCCAGCACTTTGGGAGGCCGAGGCAGGTGGATCACGAGGTCAGGAGTTCAAGACCAGCCTGGCCAAGAAGGTGAAACCCCATCTCTGCTCAAAATACAAACAAATTAGCCAGGCATGGTGGTGGGTGCCTGTAATCCCAGCTACTCGGGAGGCTGAGGCAGAGAATCATTTGAATTAGCCACAGGTGGCTCTTTCAATTTAAGTTAATTAAATGCAGTTAACAGTTCAGGCCAGGTAAAGTGGTTTATGCCTGTAATCCCAACACTTTGGGAGGCTGAGGTAAGAGGATCACTTGAGGCCAGGAGTTTGAGACCAGCCTAGACAACATAGCAAGACTCTGTCTTTACAAAAAAAAAAAAAAAATAGCTCGGTGGGGTGGTGCATGTGTGTAGTCCTAGCTACTTGGGAGGCTGAGGCAGGGGGATCACTTGAGCCCAGGAAATCAAGGCACAGTGAGCCATGATCATACCACTGCACTGTAGCCTGGGTGACAGTCTGTCTCAAAAAGAATTTTTTTCAAGCCAGGCATGGTTGTTCATGCCTGTAATCCCAGCACTTTGGGAGGACAAGATGGGAGGAATACTTGAGGCCAGGAGTTCAAGACCAGCCTGGGCAACATAGGGAAACACCATTTCTTTTTTCTTTTTGGTTTTATTATTTATTGTTCTAGACAGGATACCCAAGAACTAGGGAGACACCGTTTTTACAAAAAAATAATATTAATAAAAATTAGCCGTGTGTGGTTGCATGCACCTGTAGTCCCTGGGGATGCTAAGGCAGGAGGATCACTTGAGCCCAGGAGTTTGGAGCTGCAGTGAGCTGATTGTACCATTGGACTCCAGCCTGGGCAACAGGCTGTTGCCCTGTTTCTAAAACAAAGACAAAATTCAGTTCCTCCTGGGGTAGCCACATTTCATACGCTCAGTGGCACCTGTAGCAAGTGGCCGCCACATTGGACATTTCCATCACTATGACAGGCTCTATTGGACCACACTGGCTCTTGCCCATGGTAGATACTAATCACTCTGGACAATTAGCTCTTGATATTTTCACTAGTTGAGGCAGGCAACCCAGGTCTCCCTAGGTCCTCCTGAGCAAGTCACCTATCCAAGCCCAGAGTCACCGTGGAAGGCACGACACTAAAGCGTGGACGCAAGGAGGCACGCCTCACTGGAGTCGTTCACTAGGGGGCCTCCCACAGGGAACCAAGGCTCTCCTCATTACCACTTCCCCTTTTAGAGCCTCCGTTTCCTTGTCTGTTGAGCATTAAGGGAGCTGGGGCGCCAGGCACTGTGGCTTACCCCTGTAATCCTAGCACTTTGGGAGGCCTGGCAGGCAGACCGCTTGAGTTCAGGGGTTGGAGACCAGCCTGGCAAACGTGGTGAAACCCCGTCTCTACCAAAAATTAGCAAGGCATGATGGCAGGCACCTGTAATCCCAGCTACTTAGGAGGCTGAGGCAGGAGAATCACTTGAACCCAGGAGGTGGAGGTTGCGGGGAGCTGAGATTGCACCACTGCATTCCAGCCTGGGTGACAGTGAGATTTGCCTCAAAAAAAAGGGGGGCGGTGGAGCTGGGAAGAGGGCCTAGTGTGGCACCGGGCACACAAGGGCTTCACAGTCAGGGTGGGCTGTGAGCAAATCAGGGAAGAAAATGACAAGGCTGGGCTTTATAGCTCATGCCTATAATCCTAGCACTTTGGGAGGCCGAGGTGGGTGATCAGCTAAGGTTAGAAGTTTGAGACCAGCCTGACCGATATGGTGAAATTCTGTCTCTACTAAAAATGCAAAAATGAGCTGGGCATGGTGGTGGACACCTGTAGTCCCAGCTACTCAGGAGGCTGAGACAGGATAATTGCTTGAACCCGGGAGGCGGAGGTTGCAATGAGCCACGATTGTGCCACTGCACTCCAGCCTGGGCAGCAGAGCAAGACTCTCTCTGTCCCAAAAAAAATGGCGGGGGAGGGAGTGGGGGTAATTAAAGAAAAAGAAGTGACTCAAGCAGAAGTCCTCAAGCCTGAGCATGCCTCAGAATCACCTGAAGGGCTTGTTAAAACCCAGATTCCTGGGCCCCACCCCGGCACTGATGCAGTAGGCCATGAGCAGTGAGGCACAAGAATTTGCATTTCTAACAAGTTCCCAGGTGATGCCGTTGCCGCTGGATCAGGGACCTTACGTTGAGAAGCACTGGGTTAGAGCATAAATTCTGGAACCAGACAGCCTGGGTTTGAATCCTGGCTCCATTTATCTGCTGTGTGACCTTAAGTAAGTCACCTACCCTCTCAGCCTCAGTTCCCTCACCTGTGAAATGGACGTAGTGATTGACCCTCCTCTTCATGAAAGCTGAGGATTCTGTGAGATCCACAGGACCTGGCTTGTGGTGAGCTGTCCATATGAGACGTCCACTGTGACGATGCCCGTGGCAGGGCATGTGTCTTGACTGTCCCCTCACCCTCAGAGTGCGCCCCCACCCCTGTGTCCAAGTGGCCGCACTCCAGACCTGAAGGCTCTACTCAACGTGGTGGACAGTGCCCGGAGTTTCATCTACATCGCAGTCATGAACTACTTGCCCACTCTGGAGTTCTCCCACCCTCGCAGGTACTGCCGGGCGTGGAGATAGGGAGCCACAGCAGGTAGACAGGAGACGGGAGAGGGAGTCATGGGGACCAGAAAGCTGGTGGAGCTCCAAGCAAGGGGCCAGATGGAAGAGAAGCCGCAGGGAGAGACAGTCACCAGGAGGTGATGAAAAGAAGGTATCTGGGCACTAGAGACAAGAGACAGAGGGATTACAGAGGAGACAGGGATGAGGTTTCAGGACAAGGTTTGAGGGAACAGAGAAAAGGATGAGAGGACCAGGCACAGTGGCTCACGCCTGTAATCCCAGCGCTTTGGGGGGCCGAGGTGGGGAGATCACTTGAGGTCAGGAGTTCAAGACCAGCCTGGCTAGCATGGTGAAATCCCGTCTCTCCTAAAAATGTAAAAATTAGCCAGGTGTGATGGCACCTGCCTGTAATCCCAGCTACTTGGGAGGCTGAGGCAGGAGAATTGCTTGAACCTGGGAGGTGGAGGTTGCAGTGAGTTGAGGTCGTGCCACTGCCCTCCAGCGTGGGTGACAGAGCGAGACTCTGTCTCAAAAAAAACAACAAAAAAGAGAAAGATAAGAATATTGGGGATGGGACAAGGATTGGGGACTGGAAGCCTGAGGCAGGGGTGCAGAATGTGGTATTTGGAGAGGTAAGAGGCTGGAAACAGTGAGGGCCTTGGGGGATGGGGGCTAAAGTATTTGGGTTTAGGGTAGCAAGCTTGGGTATTTGTGATCCTGGGATAAGGATAACAACCAGGCCAGGCGAGGTGGCTCATGCCTGTAATCCCAGCACTTTGGGAGGCCAAGGCAGGCAGATCACCTGAGGTCAGGAGTTCGAGACCAACTTGACCAACATGGAGAAACCTGTCTCTACTAAAAATACAAAATTAGCCCAGCTTGATGGTGCCTGTAATCCCAGCTACTGGCGAGGCTGAGGCAGGAGAATCACTGGAACCCGGGAAACGGAGGTTGTGGTGAGCCAAGATTGTGCCATTGCACTCCACCCTGGGCAAAAACAGTGAAAGTCTGCCTAAGAAAAAAAAAAAAAAGATAACCATACCCACTGTAACATCCAGGTGGATGATGGGGTTTGTGGGGCTCAGAGAAGGTATTCTAGGGGCAGTAGGTAAGATGATAGGTCCAGGCATGCCGGCTCACACCTGTAATCCCAACACTTTGAGAGGCTGAGGCAGGAGGATCACTAGGAGTTTGAGACCAGCGTGGGCAACATAGTGAGACCCCATCTCTACAGAAAAATTTAAAGATTACCCCAGTGCAGTGGCACCCGCCTGCAGTCCCAGCTACGCAGGAGACTGAGGCAGGAGGATGAAGCACTTGAGCCCAGGAGTTGGAGGCTGCACTGAGCTATGATCGTGCCACTGCTCCCTCCAGCCTGGGTGACAGAGCAAGAACCTATCTCAAAAAGAAAAGAGGATGACAAGACTGGGTTTTGGGGAGCGGGAATGGGAGCCAGAGCCAGGAAGAGGAAGTCGGGATGTGGGATTTCTGGAGGCAGGAACGGGGTCTGGGAGCCAGAGATGAAGAAGTCCTCCCAGTAGCTAAAGGAGGGCCCAGGCTTGGTTCCCCAAAGCCTGTGGACGCAGCCACCCTCTGCATCCTGCCTTCACCTCCCACACACTGTTCCCAGGTTCTGGCCTGCCATTGACGACGGGCTGCGACGGGCCTCCTATGAGCGTGGTGTCAAGGTGCGCCTGCTCGTCAGCTGCTGGGGACACTCAGACCCATCCATACGGGCCTTCCTGCTCTCCCTGGCTGCCCTGCGTGACAACCATACCCACACTGACATCCAGGTGGTAAGCACTGCCCCAGGCCACCCCTCGGCCCCTGTGTGGGGCAGCCCTGGGGACACAGCCCTCATGGAGGTTGTCTGTCACTCGCCAAGGATGGTCCAGAGTGAGCCCTGTCACAGTGGGGAAACCATGGGTCATGCTGGGAGGAGGAGACACAGGGGTTGGGGCTGGGATGCAGGGGCAGAGAGAGAGGGGTTAGGACCGGGGTACGGGGCACAGGCAGAGGGGTCAGGGCCGGGATGGAGGAAGCTCAGGCAAAGGGGTTGGGGCCAGGATTGGGGGGGCACAGGGAGAAGGGTTGGGACCAGGACTGGGAGAGTGAGCAGGTAGAAGGGTCAGGGCTGAGGTGGGAGGCCCAGGCAGAGGGGTAGGGGCCAGGGTGGGGATGCCCAGAGGAAGCCCCTGCCCTGGTGGGAAGGGCCAAGGAAGATGTTCTGGAAACGGGGGTCCCTGAGACAAGCCCCCAGGAACAAACAGTAGCCGGTCTGCAGGCAGATCTGCCTCCGTGATCCTGGGGCTCCTCCGACTTCCCTTGCCTCTCACTCTCCTTCCCATCCACCCTTCCCCCTCAGAAACTCTTTGTGGTCCCCGCGGATGAGGCCCAGGCCCGAATCCCATATGCCCGCGTCAACCACAACAAGTACATGGTGACCGAACGCGCCACCTACATTGGTGAGTGTGTCCTGAGCACCACGAGGCGCCGAAGAAGTGGGGGCTTCAGACACCAGGCCCGGCCCCTCACGGCGCCCCTCACTCCACCCACTCCTCTCTAGGAACCTCCAACTGGTCGGGCAACTACTTCACGGAGACGGCGGGTACCTCGCTGCTGGTGACGCAGAACGGGAGGGGTGGCCTGCGGAGCCAGCTGGAGGCCGTTTTCCTGAGGGACTGGGACTCCCCTTACAGCCATGACCTTGACACCTCAGCGGACAGCGTGGGCAACGCCTGCCGCCTGCTCTGAGGCCTGGTCCAGCGGACAGGCCGAGGCCTGCTGGGCCCCCACGGACCCAGATGCTCTGGGTCATGGTCCCTGTCCCCGTGCCCCCGCTTCTGTCTGCCCCATTGTGGCTCCTCAGGCTCTCTCCCCTGCTCTCCCACCTCTACCTCTGCCCCCACCGGCCTGACGCTGTGGCCCTGGGAACCAGCAGAGCTGGGGGAGGGATCAGCCCCCAAAGAAGTGGTGGTGCATGCTGGGCCCGGCCCCCCTGGCCTATCCCCACTTTCCAGGGCAAAAAAGGGCCCAAGGTTATAATAAGAAGTAAATAATTTGTCTGTACAGCCAGTGCCCAACTGAGTGGTGTGAGATGGGGTGTAGGGGTAGAGAACAGCTGGCATGGGCCTCTGGTGGGGACATCCTTGTGTGCTGAGCCCTCAGCCTGTCACTGGCATGTGCTGAGCCCTTAGCATGCAGTACGCACGGGCTTATCTGTGCTGAACGCGCAGCAGGCCACCCTGTGGCCTGGCATGGACTTCACACTCATGTAGCCAGCATGGGGCAGCATGTGCTGAACAGAAGCATGTTCCCAGATTGACTGGGAGGGACCAAACCATTGCCACATCCCACCATGGCGGACCTAGCATGGCTGAACACGGGAGCATGCACCTCGTGTGAATTTCAGCCTGCCAAGTGGATTGACACTGAGCATGCCCCAAATGTAGATGAGTGCATGCCAACCCCATAAACACGTAGGAGGGACAGGTCAACAGACAAGGAGACCCCAGCACCTGGCCAGCTTATGAACACATGCTGAGCACACAGCATGTTCTGAGGGTAGATTCCCAGCATGCCAAGCACATAGCATATTTAGGGCATGGGTTAGTCAACCAAGCACAGCGTTTCCCTCCTGGTGTGACAGCAGCCTAGGCTCCAGCCTGAGCCAGTGGTCAAGTGGGCCCAGCATTGCAGTGCAAGTCCCTGCGTACCACTCTGGAGCCCCCATCCCTCCAGAGCCAGTTCAAGCCCCAGGCAGTGAGAGCAGGCTTGAAGCAGGACTGTTGAACACTTCTGTATTGAAATAGACAGAGGCAATAGGGCCGAGGATGGGTGCAGGGCCAGTGGGGTGCAGCCCCCTTCCTGCTGTCCCTCTAGCCAAGGGGCACAGGCCAGACTTCAAAGCCCTGCTGCATTCAGGAGAGGTATGCAGGCACGCACTGCAGGCAGGGGAATGGGAATTTCTGGATAACTATCTTTCTGTAAGAATAATTTGCAGTTCAGGAGATGGCTCTGAGGAGCAGTTCAGGTTGGGAGGGGATGCCAGCCCAGCTAGTGCAGCCCCCAGTGATGGGCAGGGGTGGAATCACCATCAGTGGTGCCCGCTGACATGCTGGAGAAAGCTGGTGGCCCGGTGCGCACCGTGCTGGTAGGAGTGGCGGGGTGGGAGCCCCTGAGCCCGGGGGCCCCTGATGCCCTCCAGGGTCCAGTCTGGCTCACTCAGCCATTCTCCAGGACAGCTGCTGGGGTCGAAGAGCTCAGGGTCTGGCCTCTGTGGGGAAGAGGAGAGAGGGGCATCAGCCAAGCAGCTAATAGTGTGTGAGCATCTGCTGAGCCCCTGTCACCTCCTGATGGAGGTGAGCATGTGCTAGGGTCTTTATTGCCAGTGTTGGGCCTTTATTGCCTCTTTGTAAAAATGATGTAATAACAGCTCACTGCAGCCTCGACCTCCCTGGCTCAAGGGATCCTCCTCCTACCTCAGCCTCCCGAGTAGCTGGGACTACAGGTGCACACCACCAAAAACGGCTAATATTTCTCATTTTTTGATAGAGACGGGATATTGCCCAGGCTTTTTGTCACTTCTTTTTTTTTTCTTTTTTTTGAGACAGAGTCTCGCTCTGTTGCCAGGCACCAGGCTGGAGTGCAGTGGCACAATCTCGGCTCACTGCAACCTCCGCCTCCCGGGTTCAAGCAATTCTCCTGCCTCAGCCACCCAAGTAGCTGGGACTACAGGCTCACGCCACCACACCCAGCTAATTTTTGTATTTTTATTAGAGACGGGGTTTCACCATGTTGGCCAGGATGGTCTCGATCTCTTGACCTGGTGATCCACCCGCCTCGGCCTCCCAAAGTGCTGGGATTACAGGCTTGAGCCACCGCGCCCGGCCCTTTTTTTTTTTTGGAGACAGTTTTGCTCTTGTTGCCCAGGCTGGAGTGCAATGGCACAATCTTGGCTCACTCCAACCTCCGCCTCCCGGGTTCAAACAATTCCGTTGCCTCAGCCTCCCAAGTAGCTGGGATTACAGGCACCTGCCACCATGCCCAGCCTCTTTGTCACTTCTTATAAGTGGATTACGGTACCCTGAGCTTTTGCCACAGCCTGAAGGTAGCCAAGTATGTGCTGAGCCTTATCATATCCTGATGGCATCAAGGTGTGTGCTGAGCCTCCCCACACCGTAATCTTATCTTTGAATGTGGGTGAGTGTGTGCTGAGCCTCCCCACACCCTAATCATATCCTGAACACACCCGGCTCACCTCAGCATCCACGGTCATGTCTTCAATGTTGGGCCCATCTCCACCTCGCTGCAGGATGGCCGGGGACTCAGCAGAGGCCCCAATGTGCTCTCCTTCCTCCCAGCCGTGGCCCCAGCAGGGTTTGTCCTCCTCAGGTGAGACCTGGCTCAGCCGGATGAGATTGCTGAATTTGGAGTCGGACTTGGAGCCCGAGGGTGGCTTGCAGGCCTTGTGGCGGCCTGCCAGGCTGCTGCCATAGAAGGCCAGGATGGGCTCGGGGTCCGAGTTCGGCATGTGGCGGCCAGTGATGGCTGCCTTGAGGGGGGCCAGCACGTTGGAGACCACGTCAGTGCAGGTCTCGCCCCACAGCCCGTGCCCAGCCTCTTGCAGACTCAGGTCATCCAGCTGGTCGATGGCTCTTTGCATAGCTGGTGCCTTCTCCTCTCGGAAGAAGGGCCCGCTGCCGGTCACACTGCCCATGCCTGCAGCCTCCTTCTCCTCCACCAGATGGTAGTAGGGGGTCCCATCTTCTGCAGTGGCCACGACAGGCGTGGGGAGCTTGCCCTCCACCTGCAGTGAGAGGCGGCAGCTTCGTAGCGAGAGCTGGTAGTAGCGGGTGGTCTCATGGGCACTGCGCAGCTGCTGCATGGACACAAAGGGGTGGCGCAGGGCGGCACTGGGGCTAATGCGCTCGTGGGACTCCCAGGTCAGCATGCGCTTGATCAGCTCCACCATGCTCTTGAGGTCGGCGTGTTCTGCCAGCGCCTCCCGGTCGGGGAAGGTCAGCCGACTGGCCACACTGCCACCATTCACCGTCTCAATCTGGTCCAAGGACTTGAGTATGTATTTGCGGCGCTCCAGTGGACGCACCTGGTGGGGCATGGGAAAGGGGGTAGGGTTGACACGTGCAGGTCTCGGGCCCTGGGCACACCCGCTGTGTCACCAACATGTAGCCCTGACTTCCAGGTCTGACCATGATCTGCCTTGGAGCTCTCTGACTGCTGGGAGGGCCACCCTGGATCCCTTACACCTGAGCCCCTCTAATCCAACCCAAAGCTCTCACTGGCCCAAGTTCCATCCCTTGCCCCAGACCTCCAGTCCTCCCTGGCCCCACGGGTGCAGCTCCTCCCAGCAGCTAGCAGAGGGAATATCCAGAATCTCTAGTCCTCCCTGGAATCAAATCCAGGTCCCTGTTATGGCCACAGCTCCACACTTGATCCCAGGCCTCCCGGTGGTCAAACCCAGACCTTTCTTACTCTACTAGTTTGTCACCTCCCAGATATGGCACTGCCATCGACTTTTAGTCTCACCTGTGGTCCCATCCAGACCCTCCTTGCTGTGAAATCAAGCTCAAACTTCTAGTCCCCTCTGCTGTCTAACCCAGGCTCTTGCTGCAGATTTGAGGGGTAAAGCCATAGAGGTAGCTGACTGGCTGCTGCCCCAAACCTCTAGACTCACCTGAGGTCTCACAATGATCCTTTTTTTTTTTTTTGAGTCGGAGTTTCCCTCTTGTAGCCCAGGCTGGAGTACAATGGTGCCATCCGGCTCACTGCAACCTCCACCTCCCAGGTTCAAGTGATTCTCCTGCCTCAGCCTCCCTAGTAGCTAGAATTATAGGCGTCTGCCAACACACCTGGCTAATTTTTGTATTTTTTGTAGAGATGGGGTTTCACCATGTTGGCCAGGCTGGTCTTGAATGCCTGACCTCAAGTGATCCACTCCCCTCAGCCTCCCAAAGTGCTAGGATTGCAGATGTGAGCCATCACGTCCAGCCGGATTCTTTTTTTTTTTTTTTTTTTATTTTTTTTTTTTTTTTTTGAGACGGAGTTGCACTCATGTAGCCCAGGCCAGAGTGCAGTGGTGTGATCTCAGCTCACTGCAACCTCCACCTTCCAAGTTTAAGTGATTCTCCTGCCTCAGCCTCCCATGTGGCTGGGATTACAGATGCCTGCCACCATGCCTGGCTAATTTTTGTATTTTTAGTAGAGACGGGGTTTTACCACGTTGGCCAGGCTGGTCTCAAACTCCTGACCTCAGGTGGTCCACCCACCTTGGCCTCCCAAAGTGCTGGGATTACACAGGGTGAGCCACTGCGCCTGGCCTCAGATCCCTTTTTTTTGAAACAGGGTCTTGCTCTGTCACCCAGGCTGGAGTGTAGTGGTGCAGTCATAGTTCACTGCAGCCGCCGACTTCTGGGTTCAAGTGATCTTCCCACCTAGTTTTCCAAGTAACTTAGGACTACAGGTGTGTGCCACCACACCTTGCTAAAATTAATTTTTTTTTTTAAGGGACAGTTTCTCCATGTTGGTCAGGCTGGTCTCGAACTCCCAACCTCAGGTGATCCTCCCACCTTGGCCTCCCAAAGTGCTGGGATTACAGGTGTGAGCCACCTCGCCCAGCCTTAAAAATTTTTCTAGCGATGCATTCTTGCTATGTCACCGGGGATGGCCTCAAGCGATCCTCCTGCCTTGGCCTCCCAAAGTGCTGGGACCACAGGCTTAAGCCACTGCACTTGGCCTCTCTCGCAATTCTCATAGCCAACCTCAGACCTCATATTTTCTCTGTGGTCTAATCCCTCATGCCACACAAGTTGCTGACGCCAGAGCTGAAGCTGGCAGAGAAGCTACCCGAATCTTCCTGTCACACTTGTGGTATGACCCAGATCCCTCTTGCTACAGCAGCCCCTGCATCTGACTTTCAAACGTCCAATTCTCCCTGCAGTTTCTCCCCCAGATCTATGTTGCAGCAGCAGCCTCCAGCGCTAACCAATCCCACATGTGATCTCACCCAGCTCTTTCTTGCTATGAAAATGCCCTAGGCTAGAGGCCAGGT